TATGTAAATTTCTTTTTGTTAGAAATTTGAAAATTTATCTTGTTAATACACAAAATAAAAATTTTTGCAATGATTATAAATAGTTTTAAAAATATTATATGTATAGCTTGTTAATTGCACATTCTAATATTTCAAGCATTAAATAAAGTAAACGTAATTAGACTTGTAGAATACCACATTGGTGCACTAGAGCTTTCGTGGCAAACAGAATTTCTTACTGGCTTGGCGTTACTGGACCATCATACAATGTCGACACAGCATGTAGCTCAAGCCTTTTCGCCATGATAGACGCTTATAGATATATTCGATCTGGAGAATGTGATACTGCTATTGTCGTTACCTCTAATCTATGCCTCAATCCTAACGTAAATTATGGATTTTATTGTCTTGGTATATACTTATTATATCTTTAATAATGTTACTATCTTATAATATTGATATGTATATCTGTTTTTCTTTATAACAGTAAAAGTATTTATACGTACTTTCATTTTAATTAATAATGCAAAATAGAAATAATTAATATTAATATCTTAGTGTACCTCTTTATTATTGAAAGATACATATTTATATTCACATCGATAATTAAAATAAAAATAAAAATAAAATTGACTTTGCCCGTAAAGTTTCTTTGCACGTCCCATATTCCTGCATTCAGCAATTAAATCAAAATTGAAAGTATTTGGTTTATTAACATCAATTTCTTTTAGGGGTGCTGTCTTCTGATGGTTATTGTAAGCCTTTTGATGAAGAAGGCACTGGATATATGCGCAGTGATTCAGTGGCAGCGGTGTTTTTGCAAAAGGCAAAAAATGCCAAGAGAATATATGCGACTTTCGTATATGGTAAAACAAATTGTGATGGCTTTAAAGAAGAAGGTATCACCTTCCCATCGTCCAAAATGCAAACATTATTATTGGAAGAATTTTACGAAGAATGTGGAATATCGCCTACTGAATTATCCTACCTGGAGGCTCATGCAACCGGTACTATAGCAGGTGATCCT